CATTTACCAAAAATCCAACAAATAAATTCATTAAAGGAAGGAAATTTGCTTAGACAATCCTTACCAAATTGATGACGGATGAGTACCCCCATGGACATTGGTTGTAATCACACTTATCATGAGGCCACCAATCCAGGGTAGCACAGATGAAATTGTAGTCAGTTTCTGAAACTTTCGCATTAGCATTGATTATAATTCTAGCACGTTCTATGTCTTGAGCCAAAATAGCAGGTAGAGAAACTACGAAGAGAAGCAAGGAGAATCTAACATCCATTGCTTGGGCAATTGATACCGTCTTTCACCAGCTCAACAAATTATACCGACTGAAAAGAAAAAAGAAAAGATAAGAAATTCAAACTTAGAAAGATTAGAACAAGAAGAATTAAACTACAKCATAAGCCTGTGGTGTTGGAGATCTCAAAAGGAGTAAAAACTTTGGCATACAGTTGTAAAGGAGATAGAGAAATTTCAAATGTAACTTGGAAAAAAAACTGAGTGGGATATGGTTTCATCATTCACGCTATCAAGAAATTGAGAGAGACATTTATGATTAAACAGGAGCACTGATTAAAGATAATTTTCAGCTGGGATGTAAAGAGGATTAACAAAACAATTAGTTAAAAAAGCAGAGAACAGACTCAAAAGGCATAGAGGTCAAAATTGACAAATAAAGAAATCATACGTTTGACCAGAATATTATTGCTTCTAATAATATAGTATTCACATGATTTTCCAGGGAATGCCCTTGCCCTTTTCCACAACACCATAATTTTCCAAACAATAACAGGAAAAGTAAACAAGCAATGCCCTTGTATTTGCTACAGTGTACCCACAAGAATTTTAAACAAGCAATGCCCTTGTATTTGCTACAGTGTACCCACAAGAATTTAAGTGATCTTAATGCTCACATTTACAAATCCCTTTTGATAAAAACCATTGACAAAAAATTCTGAAGGAATCCAGCAAGAAGATGAAAGCAGATAGAACCCACCTCAAATTCAAGACATCTCATCAATAATGCAAGAAAATGAAGTGGAGATGGCCTCTGAAGCAATTGCCACCTGACGTCAAGAATTTTTAGCTGAACCACCAGACTTTCCTATTCCTATCTTGGACTTTCTGCCACTCTAACAACTAGGAAAACCAAGTTGCAAGTAATGGGTCGGCCTTAGAAATGGCCGGCCAGGCTTTATATTTCAACGTTCTGAAGGGGATGTGGGCTAAACGCCAAACCTAAAGGTTGGGCATCTTTTTAGTCGAATACCAATCACAGCTAATGATAAAATAATGTGACGAAATAGTGATACAACAGAAATATAATATGGGTTAGTTTGCATTAAAAGTTAAGGGAAAGGGCTTCACCGAATCCTTGTGCTTCTGAGGTGGGTGGCTTCTGGTTCTTGACTCTTGAGGGGAAATGCCCATTTGGGGTGCTTCACATGATCTACGAAAGCTGACGATGGTTTCTCCCTTCGATTTTAGCACTGAAAGCTTCATTTAGATCTGTGAGGAAGAAAATGAAGTTATTGCTAAAGAGATTGCGATCAATGGGTGATGGGTCTCTTTTTTGTCATCTAACATAATCTGTGATTGTTCTTTTCCTCGCACAGTCGCCCTCAAAAAGTACACCCACCAAAAGAAGTAATTGGTTCGATTACTCAATCTCAATTTCCCTGTCGCGTCTACAGGTACAGGGTAAAACGAGGGATTTCCCATTTCCCACCATATCTTCGTCTACTTTCTACTCCGTAACTGAATCTGAAGGTATCATTATAGAATATGGTTGCAGATTACTCAAGCCAGCACTACCCCAAAATTACTTTTGTTATAATGTGTGATTATTTGCACCTTTTCTCATTTATATACATTTACAAGAATTGTCATCCATTTCAACTCCAAAGTTTGTAGCTTTTCGCCGATCGACTGATCTTTATTAATTTTTATTTTATGAAACGATCAAAACCAAAAAAATCAATGGATAATGGAGTGAATGGATTTTTTCTTTTCTTTTTTTAATACCGGAAAAGAGTAGTATTGAAGTATAAATCGCGGGCACCTTGGCCTCCCACATAAAATCATTGTCGTACAATACAATTTTGTTTAGTACAATTAATACAATTTTATTGAAAATTAATGTTTGCCATGAATGTTAATGCGAAGTCAAATAACTAATTATTTCTTATTACATGCCAACTTAATCTTTCAATTTTATATCCCCATATTTATTGTACTAAAAAAAATTAATGTAAGATCATATCATATGATTTTTCTCAAATAAAATGAACTTGGATTAATAATCAAGTGCCACTTACACTACATTTAAATTCCAATTTTCATCAATTTCATTAATAATTCATGGAGGAAAACATATCTTCTAAGCCCAGTTATCTTATTCTAATCACGCTTTCTGTTAGGTTTGTAAGGAGAGTACAAACAAAGTCTCACATTAATTAAGARAGTGAATAATCATGGGTATATAAACAATGACAATGATCTTCATTGTATGAAGCATTTTGGGTGAAACCAAAAGTAAAATCGTGAGAGCTATGTCCAAAACGGACAATATCATACAATTGTTTTTACTCAACCAGTTGCATTGTCTAATTGTATTGTCATTACTTTATTCATAAATTATAGGAGTGGACCCAAAAAACCAGTTTCCTGAATTCTAGATCAAAGGATTTGGATCCTCTAGCACAATCAAAGCTTTATAAAAAACCATGGCTCCATCAAGATTGGATTTCTATCTACCACATGATTGAAAATAAACAGAAAAATGTATCTGCCTATGCTTTCAATAGATATATCATTCACATTCTCCACTCGCCAAGCAATTCTGTACCTCACGTGTCATTGTCCTCTTGGATAGGAGCTATCCAATCAGACATGTTAATTTCAATGGAATGCAAAATAAAAATATCAACGGAATCTTTTTTGTTTAATAAATTTGAATACTTGAGATCTATTAAAACTTTATATAAATGATCTACTTTATTACAAGGTGAAAGACAATCTCTAAACTTGCGTACACAAGCAAACAATGCCATGGATGCACATTGTCTATGAACAGGCTCATTATTGTGTTCAACAACCGAACTTTACCCTTGAGAACATCCATCGGGATGGCAACGGGGTGGGGCCATCTCTATCCCCGCCCCGTTAGAGATTTTTTCCCCATATCGGCCTTCTCCCCAAAATTTTGGGGGCGGAGCAAGGTGGGATAGATTTCCCACGAGGAACCTATTCACGATATATATCTACGAGAAGAAATTTGGCTTGTACTTTTTGTTAAAAAAATTAGAAAAGGATATATAATAATTAATATATATATAAATATAAAATATTAAACTGGATGAGGACAGGGCGGGGACACCTCCCCCCATCCCCGTCAGAAAACCCAAATAGGATCTCTAGTTTGACCCCGTCTCAACCCAACTGAATTTGGTACTCGCGGAGATCGGGTGCCACCGATTTTTTTGTCATCCCTAAACATACATTGCRGTTATCTTATTTAGTACAATATGTGGGATGGAGAATTCAAATTCATGACCTTCTATATGTTCAGGTTGACCACCGTGCTTATTAATTGGACTTGATTCTTATCATTAGCATTTAAGTTCTCATTTTAAATTTAATATGAATCCTTGTGCCAAATAAATTTGTTTCAATTCAAACAACTAATTAATTAATAATAATAATAAAAAAAATTTATTGTGGGTGACAAATAGTCTTACCATAAATATAGCATAAAAAAAAATCTAAATATAAAAATTCTGTAAGACGTGCATGTATCATTGATAGACGTCTATCACTAACATATATTTATAAATGATAGATATCTATCGACCTAGCAGTCTATCACTTATAGACGTCTATGATTAATAGATGTATAGAAAAATTGAGTCATATTTACAAATATTTTTAGCTTAGGCTAAATTTACTATTATTTTATGCCTGATTGCTATATATGTAACTCGTCAAATCCAACGCTACATCTTTCAGTTTTAGGACTTGTTTCTTGATTAAATGAGGCAAAAACAGAATCCAACCCTTTGGGATGCCCTGTGAATTCAGGACTTGACCACCTTCTTCCTTGAATATTCTTGACACCATTCCGTGTGGAAGAAACAAGGAATAACTGCAAGAATGGCATTAGAAAGAGGATATTCTTTCAACCTGCAATGTCCTGCCCTTTTCCCAAAACTTGGCTGATTGCTTTTGAGATGATGACACAAAGAACTTCAAAAAGATGGCTTTTTGCCAGATGGATTTCCAAGGGAGAATGGTGGGCATGTCCTAAACAGCCATTTACTTCTCAATTAAGGCTTATTATCAAATTTCTGTATGTGTTTATGAAGAAAATGCCTTGCTTCTGAATGGAGATGAGTGCAAAGGTGTTTCCTTTGCTTCCTAACTCTCCTGTGTATAGATTGAGATACATATAAACTTAACAAACAGTTCACAAATTTAAGTGGTTCCAAAATCAATCACTGTTTATTGTGAGGAAGTGTGAAACTCTGTTCAGAAAATTATAAGCCACAGATTTCAGGTCATGGAAACTTTGGTTAGTCAAAGAAGGTATATTTTTTTCTCTTTATCCTCATTGCCCACTTGAATATTTGATGCATCTTTGTCACCTTTTTATCTGGTTCATCATTTACAACCCAAAAGGTTTTAAAATGGAAAAGAAAAGAAACAGAATAAAATGATAAGTACCTTTAAATAAAAAAGGAATCAACAGCCATGGAGCTTAGCCTCTTCAATACCAAAATTTTTCTGCTTCTTGCCCTCTTTTATTTGGATACTGAAATTAATATGACCATTGACTGCTTTGTAGAGTGAGTTTTGGTGATTCAGGACAACATAAAAAAGATGCTTCCATCAAATCTAGAGATGGAATTCCACAGCCAAAAACAAGATCCTTCAAAGAGGGTACTAATATTTTCACTGCACCAAATTAAAACATTGACAGAAACATGCTACAAAGCTTCATTAAGAAACTGCTGCTATATCCTCCATACCCTTTTCATCCATTTGGTTCTAGTGCAAGCAGCAACTTAAAAACCGACTTTTTCCCCTCCATTTTCCAGATAAAAAGGGGTCCAAGGGGCTACAATGGCATTTTTCAAACCAAATGAATGAGGATCATGATTCAAGGGATATAGAGTTTGCCACTGCAGTAGCATCAGCTGCACTTGCAATTCACTCGCTTGAAGAAACAGATTTACAACATCAGAAAAAGATCAGAGAGAGCCTAGAAACCCCAATGACAAAGGTTAAAAGCATAAAAGATGACACAGCTGCAATCCCAACCAGCGTAACGAGGCGATTGTCCAACAAGGAAACAACTAATCCTGGTAAATATAAATCTTGTGCTTTGAAGTTTCTTGTAACTTCTCATCACAAAAATTGTCCTGTTCATTATACATTTATACTAGGCCAATCTTCAATAAAGAAGCCAATGGGACAAGAAAAGAAGGAACCAGGGACTGGAATTCCTTTACCGCCACCGAGACAAAACCTCGTACAAACAAGAGCTGATGTGTGGGAGAGAGATAAGATGGAGAGGATTAGAAAGAGGTATACACTAATTGCTTCACCAATTTAATTTTCTATATTCTGTGAAGCTCCAGCGTCATCAATCCTCAGGAGTTGACCTCAGTTAAAAGTTTTCATCTCGATCTTGAAACTTGCTTATAGAGTTCTTTTCTATGCCAATTTCATATTTTAGGTATCAGAAGATGAAGTCTTCAATTCTTGCCTGGGAGAATGAGAAGAAAATGCATGCAAAACTTCAAATGGAAAAGAAAAAGGTCTTCCCCCAACTTTTGAATGTTTTCTTTGTTTTATATATATTTTTCTTGAGTACAGTTTTCTTTGTTATATATACTTGAATGTCAGTTGACCAAACTTCTGTTAATGAAGGCTGAATTGGAGCGCAAAAAGGTGCTGTTTCTGCAATATTACCAGGACAATATAGTACGGATAGACCAGATTGCAGGGGGAGCAAGAGCACAACTAGAAGAGAAAAGAAAAAATGAAGAGGATAAAGCAAGAGAAACAGCAAACAGAATCAGATTGACCGGAAGACTTCCTGTGACATGTTTCTGCTTCCAGTATCACTAAGAATGAGACTTGACCGTATGAAAACAGAAGCATGAGATGCAACTCTTATTTACTTACATTTCACCTAACCAATTTCAATTCAAAATCAAAATCAAGTCATTGTAATGTGTAAATTGTGTCTTCTATTCCTTTCTCCTGACCTCAAACTCACTCTCAAAGAATGATAGATTTGATTGCATAAACAGAGATAAGCACAGCTTTGATCTACTGGAACTTCTACAATGATGTTAGCATCTTCTAAAATTAATTTGAAGATTCTGCTTGTCATGTTGAATCAGTAATGCTTAATTTTGTTGAGATTGATGCTTTTATATATTTACTATGAAATTGGAAAGAGCTTGATTAAACTTTTGACTCGGAGATAAAGGTGGAGGCCAAGAAATTTTACAGAAAATAGCCTCTAAAGGCACCCTTCTTCCATCTTTTAACAGCTAAATCATAAATTCTTTGTCTTCTGAGATAGCACGAGCCTTGGAGCTTGTGGTATCACCTACTATGATGTGGTATCACCTACTATGATGTGTTGGATTCAAACCCTATGTTAGTCACTGTGTTGCTCAGTCCAGAAATAAGCCCCAATTATAGATCCACAACGTCAGGCCCACAGCATCGATTCTAGAAAATCAAAAATGGAAAAAAAAAATCATAAATCCTTCCATTGTGAATATCGAACAGAGTCTGAGAAGAACACATGCGGAGGTTTTCAAATGCATTAACAAGTCTGTCTGTTAGGACAAAGAAGCCATATTGTAAATTGCAACAGAGGGACCCCAACTACAAGGACTTGTGAGTTTTGACTACATTCTATGGCCTATCTATCTGTCTACATAGTCATCTAGGCCAGCCTCAGTGAAATGGAAATTAAACTCTCTGTCTAATCTTTTTTTTTTTCTCTTTTCATTTTTGAATAATTGGGAGTTGAAACTTTGCTCTCTTATACTTAGGGACACTTGTACCCATCCCAAGGTCCGATCTCATGAGACATTAAAAATTTTTTGTATTAAACTCACCGGAGGGTTAGAACTTGATATTACCAAGCGGGTATAGCCGAGAGACTCCAAACCCTTGCCAACTAGGGTGGTCCTGGGAGGTTACGATTTTATCATCTGTCTAATCTGTCAATCTGCCATTGCTTCTGTTATTTATTTCATAATAATTTCTTCTATTTCTTTTACCAAGTGCAAGGTAATCCATAGTATCACCTCAGATTTCTCAATGAATTAATCAACGTGGTGTCACCTAATGGTCATATCTCGAACTACAATTTTAAAATTTCTAACTTAAAATAAAAATCTGAAACAATTATATAAATCATAAATGAAAATAAGCATGTAATAATCAATTATCAAAGAATGGATATATCTTGTTTCTGGTGGGTACAGATTTTAGTTGTCCTCACCTGATCAGTGATACATTAGATATGCAAATACGTGTTTAGTATACACAAAACTTGATTTCCCATCTAATCTATCATTTATGCCTCTAAGAGATCTTTCACTTGTAAATAAATAATACATGTTCTTATGGTTTTGAAAATTCTTCAACAGCTTAGAATGCATTGATTGCAGGCAGTTAAAACACACGATGCATTAATGTCTTGAGTGATATTACATGTTTGTACCTATAGGCTACATCATAACTACACTATTGGGAAGTTTTAGAATCTACTATTGAGGACATTTTAGGCAGAATATGTTTCCCTGCAGTGCAGTCCTGGCCAATAGGGAAACGAGAACTCAGAGGGAAAAATAATGAAAAGGACAACTTGAAATCTAACTTGGGAGAGAATAGAACCTGTGGTGTCAAGTTCAGACCCAGCCTTCAGTCTATTTATTCACCTAACTTCATTAATGTGTTACAACCTACTCTGTACAAGTATATGTAGATTCATTTAACATAAAAATCCATTCTAGAATGGCCGACTTTGCGATAATAACCATTCTCCAAATAAATACGAGAAGTGGAAAATAACAGCATAGGATCAAATGGTTGTCTCATGAGATTAGTCGAAGTGCGTATAAATTGAGTTAACACTCAGATACTCAGATAAGGGGGAGGGAGGTTAACAACAAACTAAAATGATTGTTCTCAGTCCTTCCGTTTAAGAGGGTATCTTGCAGAAGGAATCAGAAAGAAATCTTATTGCCAAATTTGTGTGGTCAAAATGAATCAGTAAGAAAAATGATTGAATGAATTCTTTCTCTTTTATTATCTGTTTTCAGTTTCTACTTTTTTGAACAGGGAATAAAAACATTATCCTATGTATTTATAAAATATAAACAGAGAACATAATGATTGTCAAATGACTTACAAAAGGACAAATTTTGTTTAAAGGCTTTCCTTCCCCCAAGTCTAGAAGAATAGGATAATGCGATTGAATAAATGATTTGATGCAACCTACTGGCATCTTCTTGAGGGTTCTTTATACAAAGAAAAGAAAAAACTTCAATTTATGACATAAATATGGTCCCTCTGTTGATCAGGCTCATGGTTACATTGAATTTTTGGGGTTGGTTGATAAATCAAATAGGCTTTGGACCCTCATGAGAGACTTGCATGGCTACCATTGGATAAGTACAAAACTGACAATTTTATTATTAAATGTATAACGTGGACATGATTTGAAAGGATTTGTACGACTCTTACTATTATGATAATTATTTAAGTAAATTCCTATGCTATTCAATTAATTCACTTCATATGCCCTTCAACATCCACCAGAAAACAAAAAAAATTTCATCCACCATTCTGTTATTCTACCCATTTAGAAATATAAACCACTCTATTTTCAGATTGGGACTTGTTTGTTTTGAATTGATTAACTAACCATCAAGTTAAAACTTAGAAAAATATGCATTAGAGATACTTCAACTGTTCATCTTATATTATATCGTTTTCTCTCACACTCATGGTACATACTTCCTTCTAGTCTCCCCTCAAACTTATTTTGAGTGGTTTTTCACACAGGTAGTGAAATCTGACTAGTAAGCAATGAAGAAAAAAGAGAATATAAGACAAAATAGAAAAGAAAAACTTTACCTCGACTCTGCAATGAGACACCCCAGGTTTCTGTTTGCTGCCACAAGTGAAAAGTTCTTGTAAAATCTCTAGTTCACTCGCTACTATTATTGACACCAAAAAGGGACCATGTGACAAGGATATATCAGTGTCCAAACTTGAACTCAAAATCTCCTGTTCCATTTGTTTATGTGTTGTGTGAGGGTAGAGAGAGAGAGAGAGAGAGAGGGAGAGGGAGAGAGAGAGAGAGAGCCTACATGAGTCATTGTGTAGTTCCAAAATGGAATCTGAGCCACGAAAGACAAGAGCAAGTCGAAGAAGAGGAAGGAAAGAGATCCTTTCACGTGCCTGCCCAGAAGAATCACCACAGTACCACTAGCCCTCTTGTCCCCTTCTACCAGCAAATGTAAATATCTTTAGTTCATACAAATCTTCAATTTTTTCATGTAAAAAGCTCTGAACAAAATTTGATGCGAAATAAAGAAGG